TCTAGCACAAGTCACAGTGACCAGGTATGTGTCTTCATCCTCAAAACTCGCATATTCTATTATCAGTTCTGACTTGGCCCCCTCACTCCTCACCTCCCAGACAGGGGAGTTGTCTGTCTGGGTTCTCCAAGAAAAAGTAGGAGAGTCACAGTCATCAACAACACATTTCAGTATAACTGACTCTCCAATCTTTGCAGACACCCAGGGTCCAGGAAAGATGTCAACCGTAAATCGTTTCTCTGAAGAGGAAAAAAATAAGAAAACAAGAAGATGAATAACAGATAAGATTCTTTTCTTATTACATCATATTCCCATATTCCATGTTTATCTTTCTTGATCTCTATTCAGCTACTATCCGTGCCAAGAAGAAATTACTCCTTTCCGTCTTGGAGCCATCAGGAATAAGACCACATCTTTTATGAATGAACCCATGATGCTCTGTTGACTCAGGCTGACAGAATAAGTATAGATAACCATTTGTCAAGAATGTGGTTGGCATCTTTTCAGAGCAATAACCCAGCCTGTTCTGTATGTAGTCCATCAAGTCACTGTGGCTGTAAGGACCCCAAATTATCCAGTGGGTTTCTGTGTGTCAAGCATCCTGCATTCTGCTTTATATGTATGCATTATCTCACTTAATTCCCAGAACAATTAATTAACGGATGCTTTTATTTATTCTCTACTTTCTTATTCTTCTGCTCCTGTATTTTCCCCTTCTCTTCTTCCATCGCCCCATCCTTTCACTTCTTTAAGACATTTAGGCTCAGAAGTGCTAATTGGCTTAAGCTAATTTTGCAAGTGAAATAACTAGGACTTGATGTGAGATGGGTCGGACTTGAGAGTCCAGTTTTTCTGTTCCTAGAACAACTAAATCTAATCATTCTCATGTGAAGATCAAAGGAGATCTAAAATAGTTACAGGGGACACTGCACCAAAATGACCTCTAATTAGATGCATTATCCATAATGAACCATTCATATACATCTATATAATAGAATTCCAATATAAACTAGAATTTTTGAATACCACACAGAATCACAATGAAAGCAAAAGGAAGATATAAGCATTAATGTGACATTGACTTTGTGTGATGTATCATCAAAAGACTTTATAGTCATTCAGGGAAGACAGCTGAGCGATAAGGGCAAACACCTGAGACTCAAGCATTCAAAAATGTTCTCCAACTTCCAGGTGCACAGGCTTGGATGAAATGACATAGAGAAAGATTTCTAAATCTTGATGCTGTTCCTCTGAAAATCCTGAGAGTTGTTGGACAACTTTGCAAGTGACAGATGAATCTCCAAAGAAATTCACTAGATGTTCTAGCAAGCTGGAACAGGAGGGAATCTCAACACATGGTACAAATACACAACACTCCATGTTGTTCTTTTCTGTACCAGGAAAATTGCTTTTCTCATTTTAGTTTGTGTAATTGTGGTATTGTATTATCTTCCAAAGAAGGGTCTTCTAAATTGCCTCCAAATAAATTAATAAGCTATTAGATTTTTGAAGAGATTGTTCAAAACAGTAACCAAGCTGTCCAACTTCTGTCTATGCTAGTGTGAGAAAGAGGAACTTACTAGGAGATTCACTTCCTGCCTACAATGAGACTGACATCTCTCACTGTGTGCGTTGGGAGCTTCTGAGGAGAAGCCCCTTCAACTTCAGCACAGTCAGTTGAGGTTGCTAGTCACTCATATAATGTAATACAAAACACCACTTCCCAAGCCCAGAACACATTTTCTTTGCTCATTTGAAATGAGGCCCAGCATTATTGGATGCAAGTATTCTAGGAGAGACATTGAGCCTCCCACACGTTTAGTGATCACCCACCCGAGATTGAATTCTACGTCCTTAATCATGTAAACTTAAAACCCATGTTTTCTAGACATTGAGCCTCCACACGTTTAGTAATCACCCACCTGAGATTGAATTCTACGTCCTTAATCATGTAAACTTAAAACCCATGTTTTCATAGATCAATGATGTTCTGTCCAAGTTTATAGTTTATGTTTTTATTCAGCTAACATTTATTCAACACTTACTGTGTGTCAGGTACTGTATTAGCCAGTCATTCATTAACTCAAAGACAAACACAGTGAGTTCCTGAGTTTTGAGTTTAGAAGTTTGCAGTTTAATGAACATACATAGTCAAATACATACTTTTTCTCCTGTACTAAAGTATAAACTTTGAGTTAGTCATTCCACATTGTATAAATATACCAAAATACTACACCATACACAGTGTATGCATGCGTGTACTTTTGGTTGTCCAATTAAAACATTAACTTTAAAATAAAGAAAATTAGCTACAATTGAAAAGGCATGGCATTTTGAATTAAGAGGACCCCCGTAAGTGCAACGAAGAGCCATTTGACCCCATGTAAATGATGAGCTATATTGCAGCTGTGATTTTCAGCTACCTCACAGAACATGGTAAAGACTGAGATAACATATGAAGTAGAATGTAGGACTCTTGGTAAGCAGTAGGTGTACAGTCAATTGATGGCCATTATTAATCTGAGACTTCATTTTCCCATCTGTAAAATGGATAGAAAATACCCCTTAGTTATTTCTTGAAGACTAAATAACCTATATAAAGTGCCAGAAACCCAGCTGGGTTTGGGGAATGATGTTGTTTAAGAAAAATCTCGCAAACTCTCAAATGAGAAATTATAAACTAAGGCAATGGCCAGAGTGTTGGCTAGAAAGGAAGTTAGGTCATAGGGAGTCATTTTGAGGTCGAAGGGTCCATATTAGGTAACCTGGAATGGGACCATGCATTCAGTAATCATAAGTAAGTAGCAGTGTAGTTCCTGAGTATGTAGAGTGGGAAGACCAAGTGTAGTAACATGAAGATGCTAATGTTCAAAGGGCAGGAGAAGGAGACCATGCCAGGAAATGAGACAACAGCGAAGTGACATGAGCCACTACAGGACCAGCGGGGAGGTTCTGAGAGAAAAGAATTCCAAAAGGTATGAGTATGATATATATGCTCAAGCACATAGCTACCAGATGATGGGTCATCAATCAAATGTAAGGAAGGAATTTCAACACTGGCATTGTGGCACTATTGCTCAACTCCCAACAATGGCACCTCTTCACATTCTACTCACCTTGAACAATTAATTCCACCTCTGCTGTGTCTCTCCCAATCAGATTAACTCCTTCACACACATAAATTCCAGAATCTTCCATTCTCATACCAATTAAGGTGAGAGTTGCATTTCCTGAGAGGAGCTGTTGATTTCCATTATCTAATTTCTTGCTCCAGAAAATCTCAGGAGCTGGTAGACCCTCACTGGAACATGTCATCATCACAGTGTCACCCTCTCGAAGACTTCTGGAGGGATATACAGAGATAACTGTATTCCTGGGAGAGGCTGAAAAGGTAGAATATGAGTTGACATTAAGCATAGTCTCCATCCAATGGGGATGATTTATTTCTCTTATAGATTGTATTTATGTGACTCTACCAATTTGACAAACCTACCTGCCAAATAGAAGTCAAGAATCACTGAGTCATTAAAAAATTAGCCAATCTAATTTCTAACCAGTTAATTATAGTTTTGATATTTGATGTTTTCAGGGAGCCACAGGTAGGTAGAAATTAAGAGAAGTTCTTCAAGTTTCATGGTTTAGTCTCTTGCCTAAGAACTGGAGGCCCATGTAGGACTCTGTCAAAAGCACATCCAGGTGAACTTCAGCACTTACCGAGGGAGACAATCTACCCAGGATCATCAAACTGGCATTTGAATACCATGAATTATTGAAAAGTCTCTTATTGAGATGAAATCTTCCTGGAAGTAACTAGCATTGGTACAATGGTCATAGTTAAGCCCTGTGCCCTTACAGATAAATGCCAAGCTCTTTCTCACACAACTGTCTTTCAGTGACTTAGCTATACCTCTCTTTCAAAGTGCTGAATTTTGTGAGGAGAAATATCCCCTATTTTTATTGTTCTCTCAAAAGGTTGTTAAAAAGCTTTTTCTATCTCATTATGCTTTGGATAACATATTGTACTTGACACCAACTCTTTCCAATATAAAGCTCAGAGTAGAAAACATTTTAGCTTTAGCAGAGCACAATGAGTTCCATGAGACACACGTCTAATACAAGAAGAAAGCAGCAGTCTCCAAATGCTGCTGGAAGACAAACCCTGACACCTTTCCACATTCAAGAAGAAAGCTTCAAATCTATCAGCAGTCTCCAAATGCTGCTGGAAGACAAACCCTGACACCTTTCCACATACTTCATTTATGTACAT